GCAACCTTTCCCTCAATGACTGCGTACATGGCCTTGGAAGGACTGGGCCTCCGGGACTACATGAATGAATGGCCACATGGCTGGCTACATGAATATCCTTTAGATCAGGGGTCCCAAATTCCTGGTCTGCGGACCGGTCCTAGTCCATGGCCTTGGAAGGACTGGGCCTCCGGGACAGATGAACAGCAAGCAGGAGGTGAGCGGTGAGTGAAGCTTCGCCTCCTCTTAGCATGCTCCTATTAGGTTCTAATGCCATTGCTGATCTGACAGGAGGCGGAACTTCACTCCCCATTGCCCTCCTGCTGCTGCTAGATCAGCTGTGACTGTGGCATTAGAATCTAATAGGAGCCTGTGCTCCTATTAGATTCTAATGCCACAGGCACAGTTGATCTAGCAGCAGCAGGAGAGAAATGGGGAGCGAGGCCTGTGCTCCTATTAGGTTCTAAGCCGCTGCTGATCTAACAGGAGGCAGAGCTTCAACTGCAGCTTACCTCCTGCTCACCACAAGTACACACACACACACACACACTCCGGTCCTTGAGAAAATGGTCTTTAACCAAACTGGACCCTGGTGTCAAAAAGGTTGAGACCCACTGCTTTAGATGGATTGCAATGCATTATTGCTCTGACTGGGTCTTTAGTACTACTTGTGTTTACCATCTCTCAGAATGGTATATGTTTGTCCTCGTTAGTATTTGCATTGTTGTTTTAGCTTTGACATTGTCTTTTAATGATGTAAGCTGCCTCTTTATAGTCATTGCTCTTAGCTTTAAAATATTGTCTTTTGATGGTGTAAGCCACAGTTGTATGCTCATTGTTTTCAACTTCAAATACTGTCTTTCAAGGATGTAAGCCGCCTTGGGTCCTTATTAAGGAGAAATGCAGGGTAAAAATATTTTAAATAAAACATACTGTCTCTTAGTTGGCTATACTGTTGTGCTTACCTGTAAAATGAGATTGATGCCCTCTAAAGGTATAAATACAATATTCTGTCTGTCTGTACATTCTTTGTATTTCACGTGTCCTTGAAATGTGCAATGTGCTGCGTTGTTTTTGTCACTGGAGTTTGCAGTATTCCTGTAATTCATCTTTTGTGCTTGTGAAATGCTTTAGTCTAAATTGGGTGGACTCACCCTGCCGTTTGTCTGCCGGGCCACACAGATGGACGTTACCCTAACTCCTCCCACTTATGTGCATGTTCCTGTTTTTACTTGCCACATGTCATCGTGGATGTAGTTGCATAAGTAGTTGCTAGAATAAAATGCTATTTTATTAGTGTGTCTTTTCTGTCCCTAACTGATAGGTAACTTTTAAAGTGATCTGTTTGGATATCTTATCAAGCAGTATAAAGACAATAGGTAATAATAATGAATAAACAATATACTTTAGAAAGCTATATATGTCTGAAATGGAAACAAGGGCACAGGCAGGCCTGCATGCATCATACATTATATTATGTATACTGGTTGATCTTATAACGGCTGAACATTGTTAGTAATTTTTTGCTGGTTTGGATAGTGCTAAGCTTAACATGCGGAGATGGTCCTGTATTAAAAGGCAATTAAATAATGAGCAGAAGTAATAGAATTACCATTGCATTAGAATGCTGCTGATGAAAACCAACCACTTGCTGGCAGCTGTGATCTCAGATAGCAGAGGCTGCCAGCTTTGACTCTGGTGGCTTTATAGGGCCGGGAGGGGATCCACCTATTGATGGGGATGGCGCAATGCAGTCACGCAGCCCCCCTGTCCCCTCCCCTCCCACTCCTTCCTTCCTTCCCTCTCTCCCCCCCACCATTGTGAAGTGCCCCAGCCGCATTCCGGCCGCAAGTGCCGTCAGTGTAACTTGAAACTTTGGAATTTCTCTTAAAATAAAAAAAATTGCACTGGGCCGCATTATGAGCCAACCTGGGCCGCATGCAGCCCTCGGGCCGCAGGTTGGACAAGCCTGTTATAACGGCTGAACGTTGTTAGTAATTTTTTGCTGGTTTGGATAGTGCTAAGCTTAACATGCGGAGATGGTCCTGTATTAAAAGGCAATTAAATAATGAGCAGAAGTAATAGAATTACCATTGCATTAGAATGCTGCTGATGAAAACCAACCATTTCTCCCCTCCATCTCAACAGGTGGTAATAGCAGAGGCAAATTCACCAGAACTGAAGCACTTAATCTTGCCTTCTTCAGCACTGTTGCGACATTTTATCAAATCTGCTCATATCATGAGTTGTTAATTCTGTTTACTGTATGGGCTGAGAAACAACCAGACTACTGGGATTTACATGTATTTGAACAGTCTGTTTTGACTCTGAGAGTTATTTAAAAAGGCTTAGAATTTCATTCTGGGCTAGATAATGTTGAAGTTTAAATCCTGCTGGTTGAAGGACTGTCTGGCTAACAAAGTAGTTTTTGTTGATCCAGTTTATATTGGACAGACAGTGATTTTTGAAAGTCAGCCATTAGATGATTAAGTGAAAATAGTGTATTTTGTACTAGACAGTCATATGATCTTTTACTGTCTTAGAATTTTCCTTAATTGTCACTCATTAATAATCCTGGGCCATATCTGTCCCTGGCATGGTTCTTAGGAATGTTGACAACAATTACCTTGCATCACAGGTACCTTTGGTATACAGTATAGGATCACAGGTGAACTTAAGTCTTCTCCAACTACTAAGCACAAGAAATTTCCTCTCACTTTTTTCTGGGAACAAAGACCATGAGAATAGCTGACCTGGGACGCTAGCAAGCTCTTGTGTGGTCTATACAAAACTGGTCTTTCTTCCTGGAAAATTACAGTCATGGTCTGTCCTCAGTCCAGATCCTTTCAATATTTAAACAAGGAATGGCCCCTCTAAGTTGATCCATTTCCTTTCTTTTACCTGTACAACACTTCCTGAGCATATGAATCATCATAATGGAACAGAGGGCCCTAAGATGATACACAGGTTAGGAAAGTATGACTTTTCATGATCATTCTGTTTGATGTTTATAATGGGTAATGCGTTCAGATACGCATCACAGAATATCGAGACATTAAAGTTTTCCTGTATAATATAGTAATTTTTGCCATCTACCTGGGTGAGACTTCTGTAAGGATACGCATCACAGAATATCGAGGCATTAAAGTTTTCCTGTATAGTAATTTGTGCCATCTACCTGGGTGAGACTTCTGTAAGACCTCTCCCAGGAGCTCCTATGTGCAAAGTGCTCAGAAGAAGCTTACTCCCTCTCATTTCAGGGATGCTTTTCTTGTTGTTACGTGCCACCAGTTTGCCTCCAACTTCTGAATGAGAGATCAAAAGCACTGCTCTAAATTCAAGTTTGTGGTTTCCTTTAGAGAATCAGTCCATCTCCTGTTTAGTTTTCTTCTCTATCTGCTTTCAGTTTTTCTCAGCATTATTGATTTTTCCAGACAATCCTGCCTTCTTGTTATGTGCCCAAAGGAGGACAGCCCCGGTTTCATCATTTTTGCCTCTAGAGAAGTTTGATTTGCTCTGTGTAGGACTCACTTGTTTATCTTTTTTACAATCCAGGGTTTCTGCAAAGATCTCATTCAGCACCATATTTGAAACATTTTTTCCCCTTTTTCAGTTTGCTTTACTGTCAAGCTTTGACCACCCATACATAGTGGTCAGGAATACAATATTGTGGATGGTCTTCAGTGACACATCCTTACACCTGATGATCTTTTCTAATTCCCTCATTGCAGCCCTTCACGTTTCAGATGTCTTCTGATATTTTGGCTGGAGGTTCCCTTTGGATTGATGATTGAATCAAGCTATGCAAAATCTTTAACAATTTCAATTTCTTCATTGTCAAAATTAAAGTTGTGTAGTTCTTCTGTAGTCATGGTTTTGGTTATCTTAATTTCAGCTGCAGTTCCGTTTTGACATTTTTTTTCATTGAGTTTCACTAAAAGTCGTTTCAAGTCATTGCTGCTTTCTGCCAATAAGGTGTTGTCATCTGTGTACGTATCTTAAACCTTCATTGGTGTGCTCCAGCAGTCAATGGATATTTGCAATATAACTTCAAGTGCCAATTCCTTTTTGAAATCCAGTTTAAACATCAGACATTTCTTGCCCCATATAAAGTGAAAGCCACACCTTGGGCATCACTTTGCATGCCTGGGAAATTAGAACAATGGTCCTAACTCCTTGGCATCTCCTTTCTTAGGGATTGGAATGTATTTTGAATTTTTTAAAAATTATTTTATTTGTTTAAACTTATACCCCACACATTTAGTGTACAAGCCACTACCCTGGGCGGCTTCCAGAAAATAACAAAACACGATTTTTTAAATGAACATATAAGAACAGAACCCCCTTTGGCAAATCATGGCCAACATAAACTTATTACAAATTTAATATTACAAAGGAGTGAGGTTTGTAAAGTCCTGGGTAAGAAGCCAAGTTTTAACTTCTTTTTGGAAGCTCAGGAGGGTGGGGGCCAATCGCACCTCCACCGGAAGGCAATTCCAGCGTGGGGAAGCCACTACCAAGAAGGTCCAGTTTCTGGTTGATGATTTCCGGACCTCTCTTGGAGTGGCCACCTGCAACATCAAGGATTGGGAGGTGCAGGTGGGATGGGAGGATGACCTGAGAGAGGAGCGTTCTGATAAATAGCAAGGTCCTAAACCCTGAAGGGCTTTATAAGTTGACATCAGTACCTTGAATCTGGCCCAGAAGCATACTGGTAGCCAGTCTGTGAGCCAGTGTTTTGTTTTCTTTATTTTTTGGCACATTGTTGTTACACTTGTGACAAAATCAGTCTCGGTGGCCTAAAATAGTTCTGTCAGTATTCTTAGCGTTTTCAGAGCAGCTTTCAGTTCACTTTCTAGAACTGAAGACTCATCACAGGATTCCTATTCAAAGTAGTCTGTCGTTCTTTCATCTCTTCTTTTTAGGTCTTCAGTATGTTGTTTCTACTTTCTCTTTACAGTATTTTTCTCCCGATCAGATAGTGTGGTTCCCAGTTGGTCATTCAACATTCCTAATCTATGCTTAAATTTCCCTTTGGTTTCTATGTTCTTCTAGAAGAGATATCATCTTTTCTCCCTTTTTTGTTCTATATTTTTTCTGCACTGGTTATTGCAGTAGCACTCTTTGTCTCTGTTGGATAATCACTGAACTGCATTCAGGGTTCTGAGCCAATTTCTGTCACCTTTTGCTTTGGCTTCTGGCCTGGTCTTTCCAATTGTAAGTGTTTTTTTCCATCATACCTCTATGTTTTTCTTTTTCTTTTATTACAGGAATTGTTATTTTACATTCTTCTCTAATAATATATCCTGTTTTAATCCACAGTTCTTCTGGTTCATGGTCAGTTAAGTTTAGTAATGCAGATCTGTTTCTTATGTGGACTTTAAATTCATCAGGTATGTTGCTTAAATTATATTTTGGCACTACAATTATTTAGTGTTCTTGTTCAACTTTACTTTAATTTTAGATATTAACAGTTCATGATCAGTACCAGATTCTTCTGGTCTTGTTTTGGCAGGGAGAAGCTTCAGCTCTCAGCTTCTCCATCTCCTCCTTCGAGTTATGTAGACAGTTTGGTTTCTGTATTGAACATTTGTTGATGCCCATGAGTACAGTTGTCTCTTTGGTTGCTTGAAAGATTTTGCAATAAATAGATTGTTGGTTTTGCATAATTCTATGATTCATTCTCCAGCTTCATTGCTATCCCTTACACAAAATTTTCCAGCAGTATTTGATTCTTTGTATCCTACTTTTGCATTTCTTATTATTATAGGCATGTCTTGTTTTGGTATGTGATCAATTGGATCCCTGCATAAAAAGTTTCAGTTTCATCTTCTTCAAAACTGGTATTTGAAACATAGTCTTGAAAGATGGTTATGTTGATAGGTTTTCTATGGAGTTTGATCAATATTATTTGGTCAGACTTTACATTATAGCCTCTAACTGCTTATGCTATATCTTGCCTCATTATTAGAGCCACTCCATTTCTTTTGAATTTGTCATTTCCAGAGTAGGACATTTTGAAGTTGAACAAAGTCAGGAATATAAAGATAGTAAAGAAACTGAAGTTGTGTGACTGAAAATGTCTCAGTCCAGTCCACTTTAGTTCACTGACACCAAGCTCTGTAATGTTTATATGTTTTAGTGTGTTTGTTTGTTTGTTTGTTTGTTTGTTTGTTTGTTTGTTTGTTTGTTTGTTTGTTTGTTTGTTTGTTTGTTTGTTTATTTATTTATTTATTTATTTATTTATTTATTTATTTATTTATTAGATTTCTATCCAGCCCCCCTAGACAAAGTCTACTCAGGGCGGGTTCCATTAAACAATATAAACTAAAATAATTAAAACAATTCAAAACAATAATATTAGTAATGCTCAAGATAGGAAAACTGAAAATTATAATAAGAATAAAATCAAGTATTGACAGGAGGGAAGGCCTGCCTGAAGAGCCAAGTTTTTAATTGGCTCTTAAAAACACCCAGTGAGGGAGCCAGATGGATCACTGATGGGAGGCTATTCCAGAGCCGAGGGGCCACTGCCGAGAAGGCCCAGTTTCTTGTTCTTTCTTTCCAGGCCTCTCTTTTTATGTTGCTTTATGGTTTCCAGTTTATCTTGATTCATACTGCTCACATTCTATCTCCTGGTTGTATATGTTGTGCACCATTGGATTCTCTTTTCACTTCTGTGCATATTTGCCTCTAGATTTCCTGTCAACTTTAATCTAATTGTATAATTAGTGGCAGCACTATTTGTACTTGTTCTTTGCTGTTCCTCAGTAGCTGACTGAGTGCTTTCCAATCTGGAAGTTTCATCTTCTAGCACTGTCTCTTGTTTCAGTTTGGACTATTTCATCATAGGGGTTTCTTGGGAAGGCAAGTTCAGAAAGGAATTACCATTGCCACCTTCTGTTCCTTACTAATACCCTGTTTCCTCAAAAGCAAGACCTAACCTGAAAACAAGCCCTAGTATGATTTTTCAGGATGCTTGTAACATAAGCCCTAGCCCAAAAATAAGCCCCAGTTAAGTGAAACCTTGCCCTTCACCATTGTGCAGCAACCAGAAAACCATGACATGACTGTATTTGAATAAATGAAGATTGTTGTGTATGAAAAAGAGACCTTTGGGTAGGGTGGGCGGCATAAATGAATGAATGACTGAATGAATGAATAAGACATCTCCTGAAAATAAGCCCTAATGCATTTTTGGAGCAAAAATTAATATAAGACCCTGTCTTATTTTGGGGGAAATGCTGTAAAAGTTCACTTCAATCTCACCACCATTGGGGGACACTTCAGGACTGTGTAACTTGCCTGAGGTTCACAGCATGGCTCTTGTCCCAGGCAACACAGTGGAGAATTGAACTTGGGCTGTCCAACAAGCTCTGTATAGTACAGTAATTGAAAATGGAATATTCTTGTAGTTTAATGGATATGGGGTGTGTGTGTGTGAAGGGGAACAGCTGGTAGCTTTACCTCCTGACCTTACGAAGGAAACAATGCGTACGGAGTTCAGTTGTGTTGTGTTTTGGTCTGATTAGGCTCTTAGAAGTCCTGAAAACCCTTGAAAGAATATTTCTTTTAAGTCCTCTAAAATTTCTTCTTTTGACTACAGGAAAGGAGTTAGTGTTATAAGCTCACAAATATTTTCTTAAATGCACTTCTTTTTATGTGCTGTCAAATAAACTCTGATCTATGGCAACCCTTTTCAGGATTTTTCAGGTAGAGAATACTCAGAAGTGGCTTGTCATTCCCTTATTCTGGGGTCATCCCGGGACTGTGCAGTTCACACAAGGCTGCACAAACTGGCTCTGCTTCTCAGGAGGCACACTGGGGAATCAAACTCCTGATGTCTGGCTCCAGACATACTGTGCCTAAACCACTGAGCTATCCATCCAGCTAAATGCACATTACCACTCTTCATATGTTCCAACAAGCAGCTTGGCACAGTGGTTAAACTGCAGCAAAGCCTCTGTTCAAGCGGTGAGTTCAGTCCCCACAGATTCAGGTAGCTGGTTGAAAGCTGATTCAGCCTTCCATGCTTCTGGTGTCGGTAAAATGAGTACCCAGCTCACTGGGAAGCAAGAGTGTCTTTTGTGTAATTATGCTGTGTAAACCACCCAAAGAGAGCTCTAGAACTATGGGGTAGTATACAAGTCACATCAATCAGTTGCAGTCTCCTTTGCACTAGGTTAATATTTGCAGTTAATATTTCTCAGTTTACGTTACATCCAGAGATCTGTGTCTAAATGTTACGTATAGAGGAGAAAAATCGGAAGCACACATTCAACGATGTGAACAATCAGTCTGCTTCTCTCAGGATGTTGTTACTTTGCATCTGTGTGTGCATGCACACGTGTGCCTAGGTCTTTTCCTGTTTTCAGCTGACGTACTTTTGCACTTACTAAGGATGAGAGATGAAAACATTCTTGAGGTGTGGCATTGTTAACCAAAGGAGGCTTTCCGATGAGGGCCGATTGCAACAGACTGATATCTGGCCAAGAAGCCTTAGTTCTTCATTCTTTTCATAGTTTTGGTAGGTGACTAATTCTCATCAGGTTAACATGGAGCTATATTTAACCTGCAGAATTCTTGTTCTCTGGTGCCTGCATTGACAGCTGAATTGAATACATTCTGGAAAAAAGTTGGGGGATACTTGGGTCTCGCTCTGTGAAACCCCAATTTTTTTTTTTAAATGGAGTATATTCTTTTCTGGATTATCCATGCTGTAGTTTTTATGCCATTATACTGTAAATGTTATGCTGGAGTAGCAGTTATCCTCTACTTCAGTCTCTCAGGATAATCTTATGCAGATGTGAAAAGGAACAGGCTAATGTTGATCCTCTAATATATACAGTGATAGCGGGGAAGGTTGGGACTATTTACTGTGGCCCATATCCTACTGAGCTTCTGCTGAGCAGAAAATCCTGTCGGCAACATCATGCTGCTTAAGCAGGTGCTGCCATTGTGTGGCTGGAGGGTAAGTTTTGTTCAGGGAGATCTCTGCTTGCCCTATGGCAGTGCTTATGCAAGTGATACGATCTTGTGTCCCTACACTGGCAGGATTTTTGGGCTCATCTGAAGTTCAGTAGGATACGAGCGTTTGTGTACAGCATACTATTCCAGTCAGGTGATTTTTGAAAATCAATGAAAAAGTCAATATAGTTAGTTAATCATTTATCCTCTCTCCAAGAAGCTGTTTCTGCCAATTAATGGTGCCTAACCCAGCGTAAATATTTGATATTAGCGTAATTCAAGCTGTAAGGCTTACTTGTTTTTTTGTGTTGTGTATTAGACCACTTGTGTGACTGTGATTAGACTTTGACTACTTCCACATTAGCCAGCAGAATTTATTTGTTTGTTTGTTTGTTTGTTTGACTTCTATGCCACCCATCTGGCTACAAGGCCACTATGTAAGTTAAAAGTTTCTCTCTCTCTCTCTCTCTCTCATTCTCTCTCTCTCCCCCTCTCCCCCCCAACAGGTACTTTTATAGCAATTTCTTTTCTGGCCAGATCTCATTTCAGTTATTACATGCTGGTTGGCGACACCTTCACAATGTCTTGTGCTCATTACTGTAGTGACTGAGTGGTTATGAAATGCAACAATGCTTTAATCTTGTGTTACTCTTCAGTGATTTAAGCTCTTCGATACAGTCTGTTTTTGAGGAGTCAAACGTGAACAAAAACAGGTTAATTGTAGTTAGCTACAAAAATGTATTGGTTTCTGAAGTATGGGGAGAATGAGATATCTCTGTCCTATTTAGTTACCTTTCCTTTTGGGGAGATTGAGGGAAGATAAAGAAATCTATGAAAGTGAAAAAGGACACTTGAGCCTCCCCTGTACTTACGTATTTCCTTTTGAGTCATTCTGCAGATGATCAACCCAGGACTGCTTGTTTAAAGCAAACAAGGTAGAAATTATAGGAGTAACGAGAGTAAAATGTACAGACTCTCCAAATTTCCTTCAATTTCAGCTGTTTAATGTTTTTGCTTCTGAAACAGACTGTGACACGAAAATGTATGTAGGAATGAAATCAGACAGGGCACTAAATGTCTGTTTGTGTGAAATCCCTCTGCAGGGAAGAGTCACGGCCATGAACCGGAAAGTCTAATCCCCTGCTTTCTTGGTGATGGAGCTGAAGGTCTGGGTGGATGGTGTCCAGCGCATTGTATGTGGCGTCTCAGATCAGACCACCTGCCAGGAGGTTGTCATAGCATTGGCACGTGCCATTGGTAAGTACTCCTTTTCTTGGCTTTGTCTGAAAAATAAGCTTGCAGCACAGTCAAGTGTATGTTTACTCAAAAATAAATTCCATTGAGATAAGTGGGTTGCCGATGGGGAGAAAGGCAGCAAATGAAGAAAGGAGGAGATGCACTCTCCTATCAATATAGGTTGGACAGCAGTGTTTGCCCAGATTTCTGACTCTAAAACTTATTGCTACTTATGCTTCAGAATTTTCATGTCCCTGGTATGGAAGCAAGGATTGCTCATGTGCAATAGGTGAAAAGCACTGGTAGCCCCGTGAACATTAGCTGCTCATACCGAGGATTTGCACAGCTTTCACTCCATATCCTGCAAACATTTTCCTTTTTAGAATGGGTACCAAAGGACTTCGTATGTGAGGACTAATTTGGACACCATTTGCTGGTGTGGAAATTATTCCAGTGTCTGTGGATCCCCTGCTGAATGTCCCCCTCCCCCACAACACAGTTTCATAACTTCTACTGCTTCTGCTACTGTAGAGTAGCCTATATCCTCTGCTGCACCGGAAGCTTTGCCTCTTTGACTATTTACCCTTCTGTCCCCACAGGGAATTTGGTAGACATGGTAGGGAAACTTCATCTAGACTGGAGTTTACATTGGGATAGGTGAAGTAGAGTGGTGCCTTGCTTAACTATTTTAATTGGTTCAAAAAAATTTGTCGCTAAGTGAAAACATCGCTAAGCGAAACGCGGTTTCCCATTGAAATGCATTGAAAACTGGATAATCTGTTCCAATAGGAACGAATTGCCGTCCTTAAGCGAAAATCACCATAGGAAACATCGCTAAGCGAAACGCAGTTCCCCAGTTGAAATGCATTGAAACCTATTCAATGCATCTCAATGGGGGAAAAAATTAAACAACAAATTAAAAAAGAGCCAGAACAAAGTCAAATTTGGTTAACAAAGGGTTTATTAAGTGCACTTTATGATTTCAAACATTTTAAACAGTAAACTTTCACTTTATAACATTTAAAAAACAGCAAACATGAGGCTGTTTAAACCATCATTAAGTGAAACAGGGGACCCAAAGATTTAATCGTTATGCGAAGCATGGTCCCAACATCGCTAAGTGAAAATCGCCCATAGGGACCATCGTCAAACGGAGCGCAAAAACGCTCCGAAAAAGTCATCGCTAAGCGAATTCATCGTTAAACGAAGCGCTTGTTAAGCGAGGCACCACTGTATAGAGGAAAGCAGCTGGCTCTTGTTAGTTAGTGTTATCACTTCAGATAACACTACCCACAGGCCTATTTTTCATGTGGACTAATCATCCACACAGGCTCCATCTTTCCCTTCAAATTATTTTTCCTAGCATTGGCATTTTTTCCTCTGGGAATGTTTAATAATGATACTGAAGTAACATGAGATGAAATTCTCTCTTTGCACCCCCCTCTCTCTTTCATTATATACTGCCCTATTTGTGCAAACACTACTCTGCGTAGTTTACAGGTTAAAACTTTAATCCTGCATAACAAAAATTTCACATCACTTTTCAAAGTTAGAATGCTGATAGCACTTTTTGTGAGAAAAAAAAACCCAGGTATGACTTAATATACATAATAACACATTTCAATTGAAAATTAAAAACATATAATGGCATGCTGTAAAATAGAATTAGATGAGACCATAGAAATTAGGATAGAAATAGTTTGTTTACTCTGATTTGATGGCTGCTGTTAGGAGGCACTGGTCTTTCCGTAGAAATATTAGAATAGCCATGCATTTCTTCCCTGTTGGCCATGGGCAAGTGTGTCTGGTGAGAAGGATTTAGCAGCCTTAACTGGTGCATCTGTATGGTGAAAGAAAGGAACAGCCAGAAAAACGCCTGCTCTTTCTTGCCTTCTCTGTGCTATGGCATGAATGGCAGGATTCCCTGCCTTTCCTTGTAGCCTTCTGCACCTCTAGATGAAGGGAGAGTGGTAGGACTAGCTGGTGGCAACAAGCAATGGCTGCCTCGTATTAACAAGAGGCAATACTTGTGGAAATTTGCACTGTTCCTTGTCCTTTTGATTGTAGTTTGGCTGCTGTCTCTGAGTGGGGCTACTTTTTTATCCTCTTCGCATTTAATTTGAAGGGAGACCCTATAACATGATGTCCAGAGTACAATATGAGCACACTTACAAGTTCTTCTTGTGTTGCAAGACAGTTGTATTTACACGTATTTACAGTTATATACAGGCAGGTATCTTAACAGCACAGCAGGAACCCTTTATACAAACTGGCAGCATGCGTGGCAGCAAGTGATAGTGGAGGAAGAGAAAGAAGCAAACACACAGTCCACTTATATACATTTACATGGCATATTTTGTCCAATCAGAAAACAGATGACTTCATGCTTTGCACCTGGTCTTCTCCTGGTTTCAAGTCATTACATCATGTCCAGAGTGATTCAGCACTCTCACATCTGTGCACAATGGCAGCTCGTTAATGAAACACATATACAGGTTCAGGCTTATAAAATTTCTATACTCTGACAGGCTGCTGTCTCTGAGTGGGGCTACTCTTTTATCCTCTTTGCATTTAATTTGAAGGGAGACCCTGTAACATGATGTCCAGAGTACAATATGAGCAATAAACTAATGTGGTGGTTGGGCAACTCTGATGTTTGATCATTAACCCCAACTCCACTTTTTATAGCACAACAGCCTTAGCGTTGCTTGCCATCTCCGAAGTTCCAAAGAGCATGTTGCTTTTTCATCACTGGAGCACAGCACTGGTTTGGATTTATAGTGTACAAGCATGACTCATAACAGTTGCATGTGTATGTTTTCCTCTATAATTGTTATGTGGGTACATCCATGCTGTTGGAGCTGCTTTAGGCATCATTGAAAAGAATTGTTCTGTTTTGTGATGTGGAAATGCTCTGCAATGGCAAGCAAAGTTTGTATTCGTTTTTGCTTCTGCCCTTTAACCTGATTTAAGGGCAACTTCAGACCTGACTTTGCAAGGCAGGGTTCCAATTATGGCTGATGTGAATATTGTGTGAGCTAGTAAATTATCATCTGCATTTTTAAGGCAGAAAAGCTAGAAGCTTATTGACTCACTACTCAAAAATTATTGGAGCTGCTAATTCAGAATGCTTGGCAATGATAACTTTGTCTAAAAGGGTTAGATCTATACATGAAAATGCTCCAGGGATCTGCAGCCAGAAAAATGTCAGTAGAAGTGAAATAAATGTTTCAAAGACACTCCAAAGTGTATGGGAGGGCAGCACTCCAGAGGTGGGACAATGAGTCTGTCTAGTTTCTCAGGATTTTTAAACCAGATGCTGCTATGTGGTAGTTTTCTCTCTCCATGCCTGAAGGCATGAATATGGTTTTTCATATTTAATCACTTTCTTGGTCATATAATTAATTGACAGATTCTTTTGATGCATGGCTTTGCCCATATCTTTCCAGTAATGTGACCTCCCCAAAGCCTATTGTTTTTCTGGGTGGAAAATGGAATTTTAATCAGAAGTGAGACTTTAAGGGAAGGTGAAGAGTCTTGGGTTGTACCTGAAGGTGAAATGCTTCCCAAGTTTTTGTCAATTGAGGCAGAAATGTAGAAAAGGCGGTATGTGACGTTCACGTCTAATTCTCAGATTAGAGGATGTGCTGCTATGCATGACCATAATTGACACATTCTGTTGATGCATGCCTTTGCCCGTATCTTTCCAGCAATGTGACCTCCCAAAAGCCTATTGTTTTGCTGGGTGGAAAATGGCATTTTAATCAGAAGTGAGACTGTAAGGGAAGGTGAAAAGTCTTGGGTTGTACCTGAAGGTGAAATGCTTCCCAAGTTTTTGTCAATTGAGGCAGAAATGTAGAAAAGGCGGTATGTGACGTTCACGTCTAATTCTCAGATTAGAGGATGTGCTGCTATGCATGACCAAGAAACCCTTTTTCAATGCAGCTGCTTCTGATGGGATATTTATAGTCTTTTCCGGGGGGGGACGTATACGAATATCACCACCACAGGTGGTCTCTTCTGAGAACTGGGCCATCCACTTGCCAGTTGTGGCGCATGCTCTGTGACCATCACGGAAATAGCCCGGCTGGGGCTTCCCCACCACCCTGTGCTGCTGACCATTTAGCAGCTGAGCGGGGAGGCTTGTGATCCCACCTTCTCACTAGATTGGCCAGCAGCAGTCCCAGGCAGTCTACTTCCATGATAGACATGGTGTGAATGAGAACAGCCGTGCTCGCCGCACTGCAAGCGGTAACTGGATGGCCCGGTTCTGGGGGGAGGAGTCCAATCAGCCCAGCCACCTGTGGTGGTGTGTGGCGCAAGCTCTGTGACCATCAAGGAAATAGCCCGGCTAGGGCTTCCCCAGGATCAGTGGTATGCTGTAGTCGTTAAGTCGTGTCTGACTCTTCGTGACCCCATGAACCAGAGCATGCCAGGCCCTCCTGTCTCCCACTGCCTCCCGGAGTTTGGTCAAATTCATGTTGGTCGCTTCGGTGACACTGTCCAACCATCTCATCCCCTAGCTCTGTGACCATCAAGGAAATAGCCCGGCTAGGGCTTCCCCAGGATCAGTGGTATGCTGTAGTCGTTAAGTCGTGTCTGACTCTTCGTGACCCCATGAACCAGAGCATGCCAGGCCCTCCTGTCTCCCACTGCCTCCCGGAGTTTGGTCAAATTCATGTTGGTCGCTTCGGTGACACTGTCCAACCATCTCATCCCCTGTCGTCCCCTTCTCCTTTTGCCTTCAAACTTTCCCAACATCAGAGTCTTTTCCAGGGAGTCTTCTCTTCTCATGAGATGGCCAAAGTATTGGAGCCTCAGCTTCAGGATCTGTCCTTCCAGGGAGCACTCAGGGTTGATTTCCTTCAAAATTGATCTCTAGTAGCAGCCTCCAATTATACATCTGCATTTCCCAGAGTAAATGCTAGTTCTTAATAGAAGTAACTTTCATTTTACAAGTGTGGAGTAGAGGTGTCTTCCTTGCACAAAGGAAAGAAGGGGAGAAGAATTAAGTGTCACTTGAAATGTTTCCTGTTGCTTAAATGTTCATAGGCCAATCTCTCTTCTTCCCTCTCTCCTTCTCCCCCTCCCTCCAAATCACTGGGATATAGTGCTAGAGTCTGTGAGTCTGACATAGCTGGGTGGGAGCAGAAAAGATCAACTGGTTCTTCTGGAACAAAACTTTATTCCCCCCGCCCCCAAGTAATATCTGTCTTTCTCTTCGTAGGTCAGACGGGTCGGTATGTTCTCATTCAGAGACTACGGGAGAAAGAGAGGCAGCTCCTCCCCCATGAATGCCCAATAGAGTCTCTGGCCAAGTGTGGACAGTATGCCAGTGATGTTCAGTTTATATTGCAGCGCACGGGCCCCAGCCTGACGGAGAGGCCTTCTTCAGATAATGCCCCACAGGTTCCTGAGAGGACGTTTGTCAGGGCCAGCTTGCCTATCAAGCCAAGGCTGGTCAGCACAGAAGTGCCGAGGCCCAGGCAGCCCAAAAAATCCTTAACCTTCAACTTGGGTCCTGTGGCTTCCAGCGATTTGCTTGCAAAGAACAAGCTAAGGCAGCCCAAGAAAGACATTGTGGGTTTGAGGGATGGTGCCAGTGGTGGCCCGCTGTCCAAAGAGGAGCTATTCAAGACTGTCCTGCACCAGCAAGAGCATCTCCAGTCCCTGGAGGTGCAGGGGGATGCCTTGGAAACAGACATCAGGCACTGGGAATACAGTCAGGGCTCCTGCCAGGAGGATGAGATTCGACATCTCGAGCAGGTGATCCGGCAAAACGAGAGTGAGCTGAATGAGGAAGAATTTTGGCACAATGAACTGCGTTCTGAGAAAGAGCGTGAAAGGGAGCGTCAGGAGAAAGTGCATAGCCTGCAGGCCACCATGCAGGAGTACACACAAAAAATCCATGAGCTTATGATGAAAACAGAGGCCTTGGAGAGGGAAATCCAGCGGGAAATTGCAGACAGATCCAAGAGGGCGAAAGAAGTTCCTACACAGAGCCCTGCTGAACTGGAAGAGATGGCAGCTAAAATGAAAAGGGACCTGGAAACCAAAGTCAAGCAGAGCACCCATTTGGAAAGCAGCCTGGAGATGGTGGCAAAGGCCTTGGAAGAAACAGAGCAGAACCTTCAGGTACATGTTAGGATCAAGTGCTCCATAGGAAAGCGGGAGCAGATGATGACTGCAGCCTGGGCTTTAATGCTTCTGAATAGAGATGGGCATGAATTGCCTATTTGTTTGTTTTCAAATTTCATTCAATCCATTTTCTCTCCAAAATTTAATTGTTTCTTCCCTTGGCGTACTTTTCCTTTACTTTACTTTTATTAGATTTTTACCCCGCCCCCCTAGACAAAGTCTACTCGGGGCAGCCTACATACATTATAACTAATCACAGCGTATACCCCTTCCCTCTCCGAAATACATATTCCAGAAATAACATTCCATGTTTTCTTAAAATCATCATTTTTGATAGACTTCTTATTTTCATATCACATGTCAGTTTATAATTAACTGCCATATCTCATAATTCTCTATATATTCCTCTAAATTAATTTGGTTTTCATTTTTCCAATTTCTTGCAAATATTAACCTTGTTGCCATAACCATTATTATAATTAAAGCCTTATTTTTTTTCAGCAATTGATCCTCCTTGACCATATTCAGTAAAGCCGTTAATGGGGACATTTGAATATTTAGTCCTGTTATTTCCCTTATTTCTTTAAAGATTTGCTTCCATTCCTTCTTTCTTTCTTCACATAGCCACCACATATGTAAATATGTCTCCTTCTCTTTTTTACACCTCCAACATAATGATGACAATTCTTTATTTATTGTATTCAGTTTTATCGGCATTAAATACCACCTCCATATTATAGCAGTTTTCCTTTATTCTTACAGACATATTCTTCATGACCCGCTTAGGGAGGCTGACAGGGGCAAAATGTCCTTGCTCATCCTCCTTGATATCTCAGCCGCCTTTGACCATGGTAACGTCAACCATGATATCCTCCTGGAGAGGCTGTCTGAGTTAGGGATTGGTGGCCTTGCCCTTGCTTGGCTCCGGTCCTTCTTGGAGAACTGTCCTCAGAGAGTCTAGCTTGGGGAGAATGTATCAGCCCTGTGATCCTTCAATTGTGAGGTTCCTCAGGGTCTGATCATCTCCCCCAATACTGTTTGATATCTATATGAGGCCACTGGGGCAGGCCATCCGGAGATGTGGAGCTTCATGTCACCAATATACTGATGACACCCAGCTCTACATCTCCTTTTTTCCATCTGCAGTCAATGCAGTTCCGTCCCTTGGGTGATGCCTGGAGGCTGTCCTACAATGGATGCAGTCGAATGGACTGAGGTTGAACCCGGACAAGACAGAGGTCTTGCAGGTGGGCGGCCCCAATATCAGTGGTTTGGGGAACTCCCTCTCTTTTGGGGGGGGGTGAATCTCACCACAAAGAATTCAGTTGCAGTCTGGGGGTCCATCTTGACCTGGCACTTACGGGGCATGAATTGCCTATTTGTTTGTTTGTTTAATTAATTTTTAATACACCAGTGCCAACTTCACCCTAAGGGTTAGTATTAATAATATTTTCAAATTTTATGGGGACCCAGGTAGCATCTGTGGTTCAGTCCTCCCACTTACATCTTCGGAGGATCGTCCATCTGCGTTCCTATATAGACGCGGGGGTGTTCATTACGCTGGTCCATGCACTCGTAGTCTCAAGAATAACTACTGTAACACTCTATGTGGGGCTTCCTTTGAGACTGATTTTTACTTTACTTCAGATGGTCCAGAACACGACAGCCAGGCTATTAACAGGGGTGAAAAGATTTCATCATATTTCCCCCATCCTGACTGCCTTACACTGGTTACCTATCCACTTCTGCATTGATTTCAAGGTGTTAACTATTATATATAAAGCCCTAAACAGTTTAGGCCCTCGATACCTGGCAGAGTGTCTTCTTCTGCCTAGTTCTACCCATACCCATTCCAGTCAGGCCGGGCGGTTGAGGGGCCTAACACCAAGAGAGCTCCGAAGGGAAAAAACTAAAAATCTGGCCTTCTCAGCAGTGGTCCTTCATCTCTGGAATAACTTACCTGTAGAGATCCACCTGGCCCCCTCACTGAGGGCCTTCAAGACCAACCTGAAGACATGGCTATATAGGCAGGCCTTCCCTACAGCCATCACCTAGCCTATTTCTTTCCTTTTTTCCTCAGTTTCTTTTTCCATCTTGGATTCTGTGATTAATTTGGATTTATCTTTAGTTTATTTTTTATGTTATATATAAACTGCCCAGAGTAGACACATTCTAGATGGGCAGTATATAAGTTTAATAAATAAATAATAAATACACAAATAAATAAATAATTCTTTTATCCCACATTTTATCCCACTCTTCTCCTATTGCTTCTTTATCCAAATCATGTTGCCACTGTGCTTTTAATCCTCGTGTATCCTGTTCGCCCTGAATTTATATATTTGACTTACAGTTCCCTTTCTTTCTGTCTTTTCCTCTATTTTCAGTCTTTTTTCAATGATTCCAAATTTTGTCATTTTTCTACTATTCCCTTCCTTACTTTTCCATTCCCTTGTCCACATTTTTATCTGGAACATGTTAAGCCAAGACATCTCCTCTCCTCCTAAAATCTCTTTTATGTTTCCTTTATCTTTCAAATTCTCCATCCAATCTTTTTATCCAATTTACACCTTTATCTTTCAATATGTTCTTAAAGTTCCTTTTGAGATTTTCTGGAAAGTTCTTTAAATCCACAACCTGGGATAAGGGAGAAATCGGTGGGCTCAATACACCTCTAAACTTTTTCCACCTTTGTAACATGTTTTTAAGGAAAGGGTTAGTGATCTTTTTAATCACTTCTACAATCTTTTTTTAAGACAATATACTTTCAATTTTTTCTTGATTACCATGCATTTCTATTTCTGTCCAAATTAAATTTTTTATTGCTTTTAATAATATCTGGGATATGTCTGAGTCGATTGATTTGCTATGTAATATAATTTTAAATTGGGTAATCCAAGACCTCCATTTTTTGTGTGTTACATATCATAATTTCTTATTAATCCTCACTCGTTTATATCCATTACAATAACAATTTATCATTGTCTGCCATTCTTTCAATTGTTTTTCTGTAATCTTTATAGGAGGCATCCAAAATACAAAGTTTAATTTAGGAATAATTCTCATTTTACATAATGTTACTCTACCAAACCAGGAAATCTTTAATTTCTGATAATCTTTTATCTGTCCAGTTATCCCTTTTTTCAACCTATCCAAATTTATTTTATTTATATCTTATAAATTCCAGGTATAATTAGAATTGCGAGTTTGGCACTTCATACCAGTTTGTTTCTCAGCCAAACAGGTGTTCAGTGGTTCCCAGTCCCATCTCCTCCAGCGGGCGCCCCTGACGTCCTTGCTCCACCACCTCCGGGCACTGCCTCTGAGTGGGCGCCCGCTGGACGAAGGGTGCACTGGGAACTGCTAAGCACCTATTTCACTGAGAAACAAACTGGTACAAAGTGCTGAACAGGTGTTTTGTATCCATTTCTACTTTTGAATCTTTTCGATTATGGTGCATAGTATCCATTACATTGCCCTCTAACTTTCTGGAAGGTGTGTTCTTGTCTGTATTTCTTTTGCAGTTGAAAAGAGAATAATATATAGGCACAGAATGAAAGAGTAATTTTTAATTTAAATTTTGGTGCCAAAGCAGTCCATCCAAAAGAGATGAAATCCTCTTGCTGGAAGGAAGGCTGGATTTCATTAAGCTGTCTTTGCCTTTTTTTGGTAGCCTATAACTTTCTAAACTCCCCCATGCCTTGACATTGAGCAATAAACTAGCTGCGTTGTGGGAGCTTATTGAATTATTAACCTGGGAGGTCATGGGTCGCATCAGCTGTTGCAACAAACAGATGAAGCTGATCCTACATAACACCAAGTGCTCGAGAATAGGCTAGCCTGACACATTCTTGGCACCAGACTGTTGTTTGACTCTGTTAAACTTCATTGAAAACTCTTCTCATGAGGATTATGAGGTGCTTTAGTTGGAGTGGGACTATGGCAACCAGTAGCTCACAGAGTCATCCTGCCCAAAGGACTTAAAGCTCTTCTCTGCCTAATAGGCAGAAAGGGAGAGGAGTCATCACACAAATTTTAAGATTTATGAGCATGAATTGAACCTAGTAAAAATGCATGAAGTGCTCATCCGGCGTGCTTTTGTGATCTGGTGCTGATTTGCATGAGAAGAATGTGCGTATTAGATGTGCAAAATTTGCACTTATAACACTGGAAGCAAGATAAAAGGAACATTGCAGTAATATAAATGTCAGATAATTAAATAACGACACAGCTACCTGTTCGCCGACATCAAAGTGCACCTGCTAGTACTACATTAGAAGAGTCATTCCCAAACTATATGTCAGGATAAGTGGTATGCTGTAGGAAATTCTGGAATTAGACATTGGTCTAATCCAAAGCACACATTCACAGCAGAGTTTATCCATTTTGGCATAGTTCACTGTTTTGACTTTGCCTGCTTCGAAGAACTATACTTAAGGCACATTATTCTGCTGTGCATCTGCACTGGTTCATTCAATTCTGTTACTTCTTAACAGAGCACAAGCTGGAATGTCAGTCTTCAAGAAGAGAGGCCTAAAAGAGTGGCCTAGACTCACTCAGAAACATCATGCTTCAGAGGGGAGAGGCATTTTTTTGAGGGGCTAGGAGTTTAAAATATATTTTTATGGAGTTCAAGGTTACAATTCTAGTTTTAATTCAGGTATGTAAAATCTGGTGGAAATTGCATTAGAAAGCCTATAAGCATTTTGCTTCTGGCTGAGCATATGCTTGATGCTGCTTCTTTTCCCTGTTATTGTCCGCTTTTTAGATACAAACTACAGTGCAAATGCAAGTTCTCCCCTTTGTCCTTCCCTACTGCTTTTAATTGTAAACTAGACACTGGTGCCCTCTTATGGCCTAGGGCAGGAAATGTTGGGTGCACTTTTTGCCTCTTTCAAACCCTGGTTATAATGACATGATGGAGTATTTGTGGAACCCATTGAGATAATTTCAAGCTCTAAAAGACAGTAATTGTGTGCAAAACTGTTGCCACTCAAACGTCATTTAGAGAAGATCTGTAAAGGGATGCTTTTCAAATTGCATGTTTAATTTAAGCTGGATATTTTTTCTTCTCGATTTACACTCTTTGGTTCTATCAAAATGTGCTGCTGCTTTTATCAAGCAATTTCACACTGACACATTGTTTAATGCGCACTTTTACAGAAACAAAACAAGGCTAGTTTGTCTCCATCATGCATTGTTAAGCTCTGTGCTACAATTAGTAATGTTAGAGCAGCCTTATCTCTACCAAACCCTTTATGCACACAGACACCTTTAAGTACTGTCGTACCTCCCATTTTTGGGCCAATGAAACATGCAATAGGACAGTTTTGTAACAGACCAAAACATTAATGCTAAACAAGTTGCTATAAATAGAGTAGTTTTTAATTAAAATGCCTAAGAGTGCAGCCTTGGATATACAAATCTCAGATTAGCCATTGTTTGGCTCCTGCATTCAAATAAACATCTTTAGGATTTCAGTTGTCACCAAATGCCCACAGAATCTGTCTACCAAATAGACTGTACAAGAATTAAGTGGGCAATTATTAGATCCAAGGTGCTTAGCTACCCAAAGTTTCTCAGCCACTCATTCAAGACAAAGCAAGGGGGGAAGTTATTCTTATGTAAACGATGCAACACATCAGCTATGGCCTACTAGAGTCTTTTAAAAACATTTACTTCCTCTGCTCTTCTGCCGAGAAGCAGAGGAAGTGTTCAATTTGCCAATATCCTGAAGTGTCTTGTTTATTAAATATGTTTCTGACCCCCCCCCAAAAAATGAAACAGCTGAGATTCCCATTCAAAAAGAGGTGGACTTGTCCATGAAAGTTCACATCAAAATATAGCAGTTAGTCTTTATATAGTCACAAGACTTTTGTCTTCTTTATTTAATTTTTTAGTTTTCTTTTGTTTATGCCTGATGTACTTCCAAGCAGTTAGTCTTTATATAGCCACAAGATTTTTGTCTTCTTTATTTATTTTTTTTATTTTTCTTTTGTTTATGCCTGATGTACTTCCCATTCAAGACTGCTGCAGTCTACCTCCTTATGCCAGAAAGGGAAGCCTCTTGTTATAGAGGATTAAGGATTCTACCCTTGGTATGTGTCAATCTCCAGTCTCCGTCATATTTGGAAGGAAGAGGGAATTTGCTCATCTCATCAACAAGGAAGAAAATGGAGCATTAGGGGAATTATAAAACAGTATGGATAGGGGAATTGAGTTTAAGACTATGAGTGCTAAGATGTTTAGTTACCTTGAAATTAATTGTCTTGAGCTAGTGAATGAATTTATCTCCACCCTAACCCCACACCAGACTTTGGGCTGCCACAGGATACTAGCTCTGTGATAAAGAAACCAGAGACAATATGTTCCTTAGCTTTTAGAATGTGTAAATATCCAGGAATAGATCTAGCTGCCATATTACTCCTGTCGTTATCCCTCTGCTGGCACATCATTTCTGATACATTTCTGCTCATTCTTGGAAGAACAGAGGAAAATTAATTGAACTTTGTCAGGCAGCTGGGATAAGATCAGGATTATTTCTTCTTCTGCTTCATATCTCAGAGACGCAGATATGATCTGGAATTCACTCTCTGCCTGTTCCTCCTCTGTCTTCCAGGCCCAGAACCAGGAGCTGGAGGAGCTAAATAAGGAACTGAGGCAGTGTAACTTGCAGCAGTTCATCCAGCAGACGGGAGCCATGGTGACTGCACCGCAGGCCAGATCAGAGGCGGAACCCCAGCTGGATCAAACTAGCCATGAGCTGCCAGCTCATCAGAGAAATGGAGGTTGGAACACGCTGTCACAGGGTGGGCCAGGGAGGGCAGGGGCTGCAGGAGCCCTTAATTAAAGCTGTTTCTCCTGCTGTGCTAGGACATGTTTTCCTTCTAAAGCAGGAAGCAGGAAGAGAATGGTACTGTCTCCCCATTTTCCAGCCACAAACTATGGTCTCTCTTTTGACAGCTGTAGACTAGGAATCTCTAGAAATGAATTAGTGGTGGTTGACTCGGCTTAATTTTCCTTGAAGGCTCACTCCAGAATCTGTGGTAGGAGAAGCAAGTGGTTAGTTTCTCACATACACAAAGGGAACAGATAAACAAGAAAGCAATGTGTAATTGTTACACATATTGCTACTACCTAACTGTTTAAAAGCAGATTCAGAATTGCATTGAAAACAAAACTCAGATTACGGTTATGTATAATTGAGCCCATGGAAGAATCTGTTCTATACAGGGAAGAGAGTATGCAATCATATGACCAGCTCTTAGGAGCATTAAATGTATCACTGCTGGGAAAAGGGGAAAATGACAGCAACAGAGTCAAATAAAAGGCACCAGTGCACTTGTTACAGACATAGCAGTTTGGATCCAAGTGGTCTTCCTCCCTGAACAGAAAGCTCTTTGGTCCTTTGGAGGCTTCCTTCAGCAGAATAAGGAAGGGGTGATTTTCCATCCTCCTCCTTTCCACTGAATCCCATATGCCACCTTCCATATTGCTACAGAGCATCTCCCAACTTTCAGGAATAGATTTTGAGGGGTGTAAAGGTCTTCAGGTGGATCACAACAGTTGTCCTTCAGCAGGCGGCACCTGTTAAATGCAGCCCATATTCCACAACTCTTCAAAACCTCCAGAATGCTGTGCATCCACCACATATTTCAAGAGGACTGTTAATTCCTCTCAAATGCAGGAGGGAATGTTCATTTGCCCCACAAAGGTTGAACCTTAAGTTAACATAGACTGAAGTGCAGTTCTTGAAAATGAAGGCTATTCGCATTGGGGAAAAATGCACTCTGAATTGACAAAAACCTTTATATGCTTCTTTTCAATAGATGTCTCCAATTCCAGCACAGACTCACCTCCCCGGGCCACCGCCAAGCAGTTCCTGGGCCATCCACGGAACCTTCAGAACCCCCTGGTGTCCAGCTTGAACCCTGAGGGTGTGTATGTTTGAAATGGCCTACAGCTCTTGTGTGCTTAATGTCTGGTCTTGCCAAGCATCCTCCAAATGTTCTAATCTTGCTCCAGAGCGGGCTGCTATCATCTGCAAGGAGTGGCAAATGCTTCAGCTCTCTGGTCTTCCTCTCCTGCTTTCTCTACCTTTCTCTCCTTCCTCAGAACAGTAGTGGCTTGGTTGTCCTGCAGGATTTACCTATTGTCAGGGCCTGCAGTAACAGATGGCAACAGGAATGAGGCTGAAGGCAGGAGTAGGCAGAATCATCTCTGGAGATGCTGTCTCTGGAGTCTGGGATGGCAAGCCAAGGCTGAGATGTAACCATAATCTACTAATTGCATGTTGTTTGGTGAATGGGACGTTGGCAGTTGTTTGCCAGTAATGTTCTGGTTTCTTGCAAGACAGTGTTTGTTCTGCAGCTGTTGCTTTAGCCTCCAGTGCACTGTTGCTTATTTTGCTGGAGATGAATGGTAATTCAAATATATTTGAAATGCAGCAGCAAGGATATCCTGCATGTGACATTAGTTTGTCTTTCAGTCAAGCTATGTTTTCTCGATTCTTTGAAATATCACATTTGGTTAAATAGTTTGGATTATTAAAAAATAGAGGCTAATTAGATTTTTTCCCCTTTTCCTGTTTTATAACCTGTATACAGAATGTGTGCCACACTGTGTCAAAGTTTGACCTTTTGTTCATATGCCATTCATGATTTTCTTTGAGAAATGGTAATTTTAGCTCTATGGGGATATGAAATACTATACCTAAAATTTCACCAAAGATAGTCTGTGCCATTTGAATTTGCAATTCTATACATTTCAGAATAAAAACAAATAAAATTAGTAGCTGGGCAGGAAATGAAGGGGAAAGTTTTTTGTATTGGAAGCACAGATCCAAGGTCCTTGGAAAACAATGTGATCAGCTGAGGAACTACATATATTTGAAAACATGCTGGTTTTGCTCAGAAGGAAATATGCCACAGTTTTAGATAGTTTGACTCAAAACCAGCGTAGTAGAAGAAGGGTCCACCTGCTGGCTAGGAAATAGAGGCATATCAGAAAGGACTCCCCTGCAACAGCTTTGTTGATGCATCCAATAGTTTTGTCTCCATGTAGCTCATACATGAAGCTGTGTCGGCCAGAGTGGGTCCCATGCTTCCCAATGATGGAGATTGTGTGTCTGTGTTGTTCTCACAGGGTACTTTTTAACGTATTTCTACAGAAAGCAATCTTTGCTAGTGCATGGTGGACCTCCATCAGGGTTCTTTTCTTCACCCATAGACAGGTTTTGAAAAAAGCCAAATCCTCCTATTGGAAATGGTCTGGGTCTCACAGTTCAAACATCAGGACTTTAGCAGTTGAATAGCTTGTATATGTTTCGTCAATATTTTGACTGATGTGGAATCTTCAGCCTTATCAGTAGAACTAGCAACCAGCCCTTTTGTTCACAACTGAGGCATAACAACTGTGTAATGTGGATATTTCTCTCTGTTTGTCTGCTTTATAGCTTGTGTTTTGTTATATCAAATAGGTCTTCTCATGCTGTTTTCCTTTGCAAGATTGTTGTGTGTTCCTTTGAGGATGTCCTCTGAGAGTGTTAAGCTTTCAGATACAGGATTGGTTGATAATAAAGTATGGCCTTGGTTGGGACTAGATTCCTGTGCTAATGATAGATATCAAGTATGGCTTTCTATGTTGTGATACTGCAGGAAGGGTACACCTTCTACATTCCTCCAACATGTATTTAAAACACCTCCCAAAACCTTGTGCATTTGCTATCATTACAACTAGCTCAAGCCATCTCAAACCATCATAAAGACTACATTTCTCACTGTTTTTGATTCAATCTGTATTTGCATGGAATAGCATATTCCTCTGTCCTCTCTGTCATCATATTCTCATCTATCAAATACTAAGTCCTCATAATGGGATCACTCCATTTATTTTTATGTGTCTTGCAGTCATATCAGCAAAGCAGAGCATCTGGAGGTAAAAAGGCCAGCCAAGGAGGACTGATTGCCTTGCGAATATAACTATGTAGAAATAGAACTCTATTTCATGTATGTATTTGACTTCTTTTTGTTGTGAATTATGAATGTAGATGGTTGTGCAAATATTTTTACAGACTTTTTTAAAAAAAGAAAAAAGAACGTAATCCATTTGGAGGAAATAGACTGCTTGTATTTTTTTAAATCTCTTTTGTTATGATTTTCAATAAAGATACTGTTTGTGGCTTCTCTGAAAATATTTTTAAAGCATTTCTATTTTAAGACTTGATCACATGCAAGATTACTTGGGAGCAAATAGCTACTGCCCTGGAGTAGTGTGAAACTTGCCCGTATATGAGCTGTCCAAAGCATGTAGTAGCAAGTTCTCTACATCTGCTCTGAAAGATATACTGTAAGCTACTGCCGTACAAGGAAGGATCGTGTTGTCAGCCAGACCTCCTTACAGGACTGTATCAATGCACTGTATGTATGTGTTGTTGAGCACCCGTTTGTATGTTGTTTTTGGTTAGTTATTTTGTGGAAATACACATCATTTTAGTTAGGGAGGGAGAAATAATTCTGTTCCTTTTGTGAAAATCATATAAATCCAGAAAAATTTCACTGAGATACAGTCTTCTTGGCCTTCATTGCTCCCTGCTTATGTTGCTGTTTATCCCGAGTCTGTATTTAGGAATGACCTTTCAGAACTGGTAAAATGAGATTCAGGTGCTAGCACAGTCTTGCCATTATATGACTTGTGCCAAATATTAAATTTTTCTAGTTCTGTAGAAGAAGAACTAACAGTGTTTAAGCTTGTACATGGGTAAATATATTTATTGTCTGTATAGCTTTATGATGGAGTGTATAATAGTTTTGAATCCTAGACTATTCTAAGGTCCAGAGCAAACTTCCCAAAGCAGGTGAACTGCAGATTACTGTGTGACAGTCTTGAACTTGAATTGGTGATGGCAGGCAGCATAAAGTGCTCTCCTCTGTCGCTTGAACTTTATGCAGGCAGCATAAAGTGCTCTCCTCTGTCGAGGGAGCTAACGCCTGGGGAGTATATCCTGTCCTTTCTCCTCTTCAGAGGAGTTGCAGCAGGGCTTCCTAGCTTGTCCTGAACAAGAGGCCGGCCCAGTGATGCCATAATGCCACATAGCAGTACAGATGGCTTACAGGGAAAGGTCTGTCCTTTGCAAGGGAAGGGTATGCAGGCAGCATAAAGTGCTCTCCTCTGTCGAGGGAGCTAACGCCTGGGGAGTATATCCTGTCCTTTCTCCTCTTCAGAGGAGTTGCAGCAGGGCTTCCTAGCTTGTCCTGAACAAGAGGCCGGCCCAGTGATGCCATAATGCCACATAGCAGTACAGATGGCTTACAGGGAAAGGTCTGTCCTTTGCAAGGGAAGGGGAAGCAGATTATAGTCTTGGGAAAAGGTGTGGGTAGAGATGTTAAGATACTTGCTATATTATTTGGATCTCCTCCTCTTTCCAGTGCCCCCATCACTTATTTATTTGGGCTTACGTATATGTGTGGGAACAGGAAGAGGTAGACTGAAAGCCGCAGTTCTAGTAGAGATTATGACTCTCCCAATTTACAACAACATTTTTCTTTCAATTTGTGTTATACACTTCACATTCATGCTGCTGTTGAGCATGCTGTGAAGAAAGGGGGGGAGTGCAAACATGTAAAGATAACAATTCTGAAACCTAAAAATAGGTAATGTGATCCCTAGCAATGGATGAATTCTGTCCACACTTGTTTCCAGTGCTTGTAGACAGTAGCTTTCTGCAGTGTTAGTTACTATGTCTTAGCTATCAATCAGACTGTGAAGCTGCATGCCCTATTCCCCTATTAATATGAACCTCAATACTGTACGTGCATGCAGCCTACTATTAACTATGACAACTTCTTAACTATTATTTTTCACAAAGTTCTCTGATCTGACTGTTTCCTGACTGGGAGTTTATATGAAAATTAGATTACTTTTGTGGCATGTCACTGAGTGACAATACTTGGTACCATCTTTACAAACCTTCATTTACAACACTGGGATAACTGACCTAAGCCCCTCCATATTGATGCTGGTTATACAACAGTGTAAGAATAGGCATTAACTGGATCTCATATTACATCCAATGTTGATTTTGTTTCTGTGAATATCAGCAGTAAGATAAAGATATGTGGTGGGAAACCACCTTGTTCAGCAATCAGTGTACTAGGCAAGACTGCAGAAATATTTGCTAATATGTTAGGAAGTACAGAACTTCCAAGAATGTAATCTGCTTCTCTTCAGAAAGGTTGGCAATCTGGTTTATCAACATATCTGCTTTAGATATGGGTTGGACGCTACCATTCCTCCCGTTTGAGCGTATGCTTCACTTGCAAATCTTCTGTTGTACATATATTGACATCAGGAATCAGAAGTGGCTTTAGTTTTCATGGAAAGAGGACTCAATCTTATTACAGCCTAGTTGGAAATGTTTTCTGTATGTGTGCCTTCTTCAGTTTGTGTGTGCGAAGGTTTTTGGTGCTTAACATATTTTAAAAAGACAGCTGTTGCTCATTTTACCAGATCTGAATGAAACACCGTACATTCCAGAATGAAATTCTATTGCAGGGACAGGCATTATAACCAGAAAATAACCCTAATATTCTTAAATTTGTTACTGATTTCTCCCACTACATAAATATGCAACTCCATCATGCTTAATTTCTTATGAGAGCAGCAAGAACATCCTAAATTCTAACGCCAGTGGAGAAGGAGGGGTTGGCTTGCTGGATAAGACCAAAGGGAAACTTTGTGATTTTTGAAAACTTGTTTCTGTTTAATGTAGACCAGCCATCCTCAATTAGGTCCATTAGGTCCCAGGGGTGGCGGTTCCTGACACGTTTGAAGGGGGACACTGACTGGAAACAATTCTTCACACACCACCTTATAAGGTTCATTTTGTGATGTGTACAATTCTGATCAGCCTATATTTCTTTTATATTGTGTTTATGGCCATGGTTAAAAAAAGGTTGAGAATGGCTGATGTAGACTTCACTTGATCTTCAATAAATGAGGATAAACTACAATTGCAAATGATACACTGTTTCCAGAATCGATGATGAAAGTTGCTTCTTTAACAGTTCCTTTTTATTGGAGAATGATGATGATGTGCTGTTATGTAAATTCTGACTTTTGATTATCCCTTCCTGGGTTTCCCAGATATAGAGTACTGTACTTAGAAGCAGTTTAACATTCCCTTTTCAAGGTGCTCCAAGACTAAGCAGCTTGCCCAAGGCTACATAGACAGGCTTTTCTCCTGGGAAGCACAATGGGGAATTGAATTTCTAAACTCTGTGTCCACAGCAGCTGCCCAACTCATGGAGCTATCCACAAGTGTAACAGAGGGAATGAAATTATAATTACTGGTAGTATTCCTTGCTGAAGGTTTCATTCGGCCAACAAAATTTACAAACGTACATATCAGTGTTATCCAAAATTCATGTATGTTCTTAAGGTGAAACCAGGGAAGCAAATATAGACATAAGAGGGTTCACTGGTTAGGAGGCCATGAATAGCTCTGGAAGACCTAGTCTTGTTTTTATTTTATTATTATTTTTAAAATAGCATATATATGAAATGTGACTCCTGCTGTTGTTCTCAAATTATGGGTGAAAAATCATGTTTCATGTATGAATGTATCTATCCCATGCACTAGTGGTTTCAAATTTTAATTAAAATTCCTCAAAATAACTTGTGGACAGTCTCTTCATTTGAAACAGAGATCTCTCCTGCCACCTCCTGGTGTATGTTTAAAGTGCACTATTTCCTACACCTTTCACTAACTTCTAGGCACATTCATCCTTCCTGAAAAGATTACAGTGGTGCCTCGCTAGACAGTTACCCCGCATGACAGTTTTTTCGCTAGACATTGACTTTTTGCGATCACTATAGCAATTCGCAAAACAGTGATTCCTATGGGGGAATTTCGCTGGACAATGTTTGGTCCCTGCTTCACAAACCAATTTTCGCTAGACGACGATTTTGACAGCTCCCTCCGTACTCGCAAAACGGGACCTAAGCTTCGCAAGACAGCTATTTAAACAGCTGATCAGCGGTTTGCAAAGCGGGTTTCCTATGGCCAATCTTCGCTAGACAACGACAATTGTTCCCCATTGGAATACATTAAACAGGTTTCAATGCATTCCAATGGGAAAATGCTTTTTGCTAGATGATTTCGCTAAACAGCGATTTCAGTGGAACGGATTATCATCATCTAGCAAGGCACCACTGTATATCCTTTTCTTAAACTGTGGCAACACTGACACTGGATCTGCTATTGAAACTTCAGCAACCAAGAGTTGATGGACAGGAGACGGTAGCAACAATTGGGACTCTCATCTCTCTCTCCTAGTCGACCAGTGACAGTGGTGTGCATTCTTATCTCATAATAAACCTACTGCCCTGATCCAATTCCTATAGAAAGCAGCATGGAGGGGGAGAAAGAAGTGATCCTACTGCTGTGGATGCAGGCTGCCAAGAAGCCATGTTTCTTTAAGAGATACAAGGGATCTGTAAGTTGCATTGCATTCACCTCTTCATACTGCCTGGTGTCTGCCTCTGTTGTTTTGGACTAAAGCTCCCATCAGCCCCGATGAACATGGCCAGTAGTGGGAGACTGTGGGAGCTGAATTGGTTACCAGGTTGGTGAAGGCTACATTAATGGGACACAGCATTTCTCCTTCCTCTGTGTTCCAGACATTCCACAGTGCAGAGGCTCAAACCACAAATCTTCTCTCCTTCTAAACCTTTCCCTTGGCTACAACATTGAGTTTTGGGGGGGAAATGTCCCCCTTTATCATGCAGGTTTAAACTATTGTAGTCTTGAAAACTTTCCTGGTGTGTTCCTTTTACTTCTCAGTGCCTCCATTTTTTGTCATCATGGATGTCCTTAGTGTGAGGAAAGGGACCCGTCACCTCTGCTCAACAAACTAAAAAGATTAAGAGAGCAGAAAGGGCACATTAAGGGGTTCTAGCCGGGAAAGAATGTCTTACCATACTTTGCTTGTTCAAAAAACCTTGCTTTATTTCTACAGATATTTCTAATAAATACTGGAGATTCTTCATGCAGCATTTCTTCCACTTTCTCCCTGTGGGTGGTGAGAGTGTGTTCTGATTAACAAGCCAGCAGCATCTGGCACTCAGGTTTTCTTTAAAGTAACACTGGAAGAACTGAGCTCCTGAGATGCTCCATCATCTGTGACATCGACTGACAAGCTTTGCTTGGGTTTTGTCCACCAGGCAGTTAAAACGTTGGGCATTCCTGAGTGGCCGGACATCGATGTAGCCCATCCAAGTGTCCTAGCAATGAAACCATCTAATTTTACATGTAGCATTTCCATAGCTCCATTGCTCCTGCACTGGCAAACAATGCTCAATAATTCTTTGTACAAGATATCCCAAAGATACACACACAAAAAAAAAACAAGTCAGGCTTACCTTAGAGCTAGTTCTGTGGTGACCAGTGCTCTGATGCGTTCCATACATTATGTGGCATATTTCAACTTTCCCCAGCATGGTATCCTCCAGATATGATGGACTATAACTCCCAGCATCTGTACTCAGCAAGGTCATGCCAGCTGTGGATGATGGAGGTTGAAGTCCAAAAAATTTGAAGGACATGTTGGAGTTTTATTTACAGCCTTGCATGCGGTTTGTAGTGACTGGGAGGGATTTTCAAAGCTAAGGTAACTCTCCATCCACCACCAATTGTTCCAGAATTTGACATTCTAAGCAAGCCCTGCCTCTCAGCTGAGTGTTCAATCCCTCTCTTTCATTGGTCATGGCAGTTGTTTTGTTGCTGTTGATCTGTTCAGCTGGTTCCTACTACTTATGCAGTAAAGATAGCCACATACAGAAGTCTGTAATTTTCAAGCAACTGTAAGAAAAGAAACATTTTTCATTCTGTCTCCTACAAATAAGTTATTGAGACTTTAAGTGCCTGTT